GATTTTTATTGCATTCTCAGTGTTGAATTAAGACTTGTATTAAAGGGCCAATATCATGTAAAATCTACTTTTTTGAGTTTTATATAATAATGTTTTTCTCTTGTAAAAAAACATGCCCAAAGCCTTGCTTTGACTCATTCATGCATGTTTGAGAAATCCTGCAGCGTTTTTAGGAAGCCATGCTGAGGAGCAAAACGACAGGTGGGGATCAGGAACGCCTTTTGGTACCAGAAACACCCCTGGGACGTGTCTTTAAGCTGAACTTCCTCATAGCAGAGCACCCCCACTCCCCACACACCCTGTCCATGACCACTGCAGGCTCAGGTGAAAATGAAAGTGAAACTCAGTCTGCTGAGATCCACTACTTCTCACTCAGTGAAGCTCTTTTCAGATTAAAAATACCTTTGAGGAAATGTATTTTCAGATGCCCAGTAAACTGCATCATAGCACACACACCCCCACCCCCGCACTGAAATGGGCGAGACAGAAATGGAAGGTGGTTCTTAAAGCCACAGAGGCCAATTTCAAGGCGTTTAGAAGAGGAAGTGTTGAGAAGATAAGTTTATTTTCTATTTAAACATAAAAACAGCATTTTAATAACAGCTAAAGGTAACATAGATACTTTATTACGATAGTATTTAAATTTATGCCTGAGAAACACACAACATTGCCCCTTTAAAGTGCATCATGTTGGTTTTTGCTGCTCCTGTGTCTTAAATGAATCAAACTGTTGATCCAAATATATACATACAGCAACATTCTGGTACAGTTTGTTGAAATATTATAGGACATGTATCATTTGACAAATGATTGTTAAATGCTTAAATAAATGCAATTTTATGTGCTATTGCAGGATTTCACAAATGTACTGAGTTTCTGTTGGGGGTGACTTTATAAAAAGAGAAGGCAAACAAGACATTCAGGTCAGATCTAAGAGTTTAGCTTGAACAGCTACAGATATGTGATATGAAACCAGTCAGCTGCACTGACGTTAAGTCATCTCTTGTTGCACACACTTTCATCATGAGTTAGTGTTTAGGGAACAAATAGTGACCTCAGCACTGAGAGAGGAAACATTCACTGAGGAGGGAAAGAACATTTTTACACTTTATGCAGAAATCTTTGAGCATTATATGTTTGTCTTGCAAATTTGACATTATTCAAAAAGGTTTTAGTCTCATGTCTAGTTTCATGTTTGTCTCTAAAACTGTTATAGGAAGAAGTCAGATAAAATTGGATGAATTTGAGGATACACGTGCCCTCAGATGGTATTTAAAATCATAACTATAAAAACATATAAAGTTAATTTTAAATCAATTATCCAGCTAGAACTGATCAGCTTGTTCCTGTTTACAAGCTAAAAAACAGTCTTTGTTGCCCTCTTGTGGACAACAGGAGAACTGCAACAATATACTTAAAACAGTCAAAAGAATTTTAGTTAGTTAAATATCAACTGATGTAAACATTTTTATTCTGTAAAATCAAAGCAAGTTTTGTCTTTTCCTGATTACATTTTTGGGAAATAATCTTTAGTTTTTTGAGAATGATTTTATAAACAAAACATTGAGGTTGCTGCCCTCTAGTGGCAGCATGGAGTAATGACTAGATCAGGTTGCACCAATAACAAGTCAACGTATTATGTATATATA